TATTGTTTGAATTAATGTTTGAATTTCCTGAAACAAACTGACATCATTTGAACGATAAGACTTTGTTTCTTGTCGAAAGCTACAATACAATGAAGTTCCACTCGTGCAGTGGTTAAAACAATACACATGCATACCGAACTGAAAGACCTGTACTGAAAATTTTCGGTACGAATACTGTACCGTTACACCCCTACATTTTAGTTATTAAAACTTCAGCTTGGTGTGTTTTTAATAGTTTTTCTATGTAGACTAGATGGATTTTTTTTTAACCTTTGCACCACATATCCCTGTTACTTCAGCATCTTGTGCTGTTTTTGAATGTGTTGTGAGTGAAGAGCCCCTAAAATAGTTTACTCTTTAAGGCCTGTTCATACCAAGATGAATATTCAATATGAAAATTTGCTGATAAACATTGTAATTAGAATGAACAGCTGTTAATGTGTCTGTTGAGACACGAACATTCACATGCCGTAATTTTTTTTTAAGGAAAGGTGTTTTAATTTCTGTTCAAGTGCACTGTGAAGAAAACTTGCCGTCCAATAAGATTCGGTCATATGCCCAGAGCCACTGCTGTTACATAAAACTATGACTTTGTGGCGCTCATGAATAGACTGTTTTACTAAAATACAGGGAAAAGCATAGGAAGAATCCAGAAACAATTGAAAAACATCTTTCTGTTCACACCAAGATGAATATTCAGTGCAAAATGCTTGGCATGATAAACGTTGCCATTTGAATGAATGGTTGGTTGTTAATGTGTCTGTTGAAACTGACACAAACATTTTTTTACGGAGCGATGTTCTAATCTCTTTTCCATCGCATTGTGAACAAAACTGGCCGACCAATAGGATTTATTTCTTCACGTGCCCAGAGGCGCTACGGTTACATAAAGCTATGTCTCTCTTGTCTCTGTACACTTGCATTTGGTGTTGTTTGATAAAAGCCATAGAGAATTTAAAAAAATCGTACACTGTAAAAAATACGTGTAATTTTAACTGTAACATTTTGTAAAAACCTTACGGAAAAAAACTGTTAATAGGTTAACAGTAAGTTCCCGTACTATATACAGGGAAAAACTGTAAAATATCTAACCAGACATTTCATGTAATTTTACAGTAAAATGCTGTTAATTTTACAGATTTTAGAAGTAAAAATAACAGATCAATGTATAATTTACAGTCAAAAACGGTAAACTGATATTCCCAGAATTCCCTGCATGACACTCCACATTTGAAAGTATTTTGTTTAAATAATCATGTTTTTAAAAAAGTTTTTGTTATTAGTTATGTATATTTGGGCTTTATGTTACATATTCTGTTGTTTAATGAAAGTTTAATGCATTATTTAAGTATCATTTGTGTTACCATGATGGTGTTTTGTGTTTGCATGAATGACTCTGTGCACCTTCTATATATTAGTATATACTTCTGCTTGTGGTGAAGCTACTTGTGATGGGCTTTGATTCTTCATGTGGCTTTCTCTTTTACCACCTGCATTATTATGGTGGTTGTCAGTATGTTTAAGGTACAAAACAAATTTTAATAGCAGTGTGCATTGTTGAATTTACTGGTTTACATTCAAATTTTCTTGTTTGTAAATTACAGTTTTATACTGTAAAATTTACAGTTGTTGGCCGTAAATGTGTTTACAGTTTTTCTGTATTTTTTACAAAATTATTCTGGCAACCACAGCTGCCAAAATTATTTTGTAAAAACTACATAATTTTTTTACAGTTTACACTTTGAAACATAAATATTGTTTGACTTTCTTCTCTGTGTCAGATATGAAAAGTGCACAGTGCTTTCATTTCATTCATCTTCTCTGTCATTTTTTATGCATCGATTCACAAAAATTGGATCGAACATTCTTGTTGGTGTAAAGAGGCCTTAAAGGGTTAGTTCACCCCAAAATGAAAATTCTGTCATTAATTACTCACCCTCATGTCGTTCTAAACCCGTAAGACCTTCGTTCATATTCGGAACACAAATTAAGATATGAACTAACCCTTTAACATTGTGAGAACTTTCAAATGAAGTATTCAGTGTATGTTGCAGAATAAGCCTTATGTTAGTATTGAATTCTGAATGATAGCATGTAAAAAATAACTCCTAGAATAGCCATTGCCTGGTCTAGAATGCCAATACAGATTAGCTGGAGCCTGATTTGAGCTACTTTTATGATACAGTGATGATTTGACATGTTTTTGAATGCATATTTTGGCATTCTTTCCATAATCAAGTTCATTAAAACTGTACTTGACTATATATGACTAGAAAACAGCTGCAAATTGGCTGCCAAGTGAACTGACTGAACCAGAGGGAGAAGAAAAACTACTTTTTGTAGAATGTCACACACCACACAAAGCTGAACCAGAGATAAATGCTGAATGATATAATTTTTTTTCTCTCCCTGCGGCTAGACAGATGAACATTGATGGCTCGTCTTTGTGGAAAACTGGAATTGCTACAACTAATGTTTAATTTGCTCTCCGTCTAATGGATCTTGTCATTTAGGGGAAGCTATAAGTTAATGAGTGCCGCTATTAGTGTATATTATACAGGTCTGCATTATCAGTCTCTTCTCCCACTGTCTGTTCAGTGCTGAATGCGGTTCAGAATAAGAAAGTAATTCGAAGAGCACATCTGAACATAATGCATCTTGCTGTTCTTTTTTCAGCATTATATGGTGCTTTTAAACCCTCAGTTAACTAGCAAAGGGAAACTGTATTGTTCAGAGTTTGCTCTTTCATATCTCAGGAGACTTATTGCAAATGCATTTTATGTTATGTTTCTCCTAAAATTCCTTTGGGTATATAAAAAAACCCAAATGAGACTATTGTTGACATACAGTAATAGTGTATAGCTGTTTGTATATAAACACAGTTCAGACAATCTGGTCTTTGTTTGAGTTCATATTAAAATCCCTGATTTTTGATTCCATACTTTGGTTTCTTGCAATCCATTTCTTTCCAATCCCCATTTTTTGTTTTTATTGTTTTAATCTGTGAGTTTTATTTCCTGTAGTCCACGGAGTTCAAGTCCACAATCATGTCTTTTTTTGAGAGAGAGAGAGAGAGAAAGATATTTTCAGAAAATCTCTGCCTTTTGAATCATGAAGCTCATAAGTTTTAATGATCTTTTTGACGTGATTTTTGAATGTAAATGAGATGAGATATTTTCTATGGTGCTGCGTGCTGATTGTGTTTCAGTCTGGTTGGCATAGAGAAAAAAGGACCATAGTGTTACTTGTTTTAGACGTTTTATTGCCTACTCATGTTATTGTCAACCACAGTCAACGAATCACATTTGAATCGCACGGTACATCAATCATACCTACTATATTTGCTTGATGTTCAGTCCTTCCACAGCTGCATGTTTTGCATGCAGATGCAAATGAAACACAGTTTGTTTAAGTCAAAGAGTTGCTGTTGCCAAAAGCGCAACTTTATTGCAGTCCACAAAAGCAAACGATCTTGACACATTTTTAGAGCTGCTTTGTGCTGAGTTTCACTCCACTGATAGAAAACAACAGTCCAACGTCCTTAGATTTAACCACAGAGGCCTCAGCATGAAATATTTTGCATATCTGTGTGAAGATCTAAAGCCTTGGACCTCTAGACATATGTTAGTGATTAAAAAGGATGGCCTCTGTGCCTTAGTGTTCTTTGGATCAGCTTGGATTTTTCCCAGCTACGCTTAAAAGAATAGTTGTTTAGAAATCTTTTTATTCATTTACTCACCTACATCTAAACCATATGACATATGCAAGAAGCAGCACCATGTAAGGTTTTTGATGTCATTTGCCGGGTTTCCATCCAAAGTTGCGAATTTAACTTGCGTGCAAAATTAGAATATCGCACAAAACATTTGCGAACAAGCATCATTTCCATCCAACGAGTCAAAGAGAACAAAATCATCACTTCCTGATAAACTGGCACTATACATCACTAAGAAAAGTAGGAGAAGCTACTGAATATAATAATTTTCCTATATAATAAATTACTTGCACCTCAGAACGAGCAGACGAAACACAATGAATGCGGTAATTGCTTTCGGAGGTGGATGCTGCTGTTTGGGAACACAGTCGTGGAGGACAGTTCTGGGAGGCAATTATACAGAAAAACTTTGATGACAGACTTTGCTCGGGCATTTCCGAATAACCATAACAACATTTCAGATGCTGTGAATGAGATCGGTCCGCTGGTTAGTCAGAATTTACCGTCCCATAGCGCAAAGTCACATGACTTTTTTGATGCGCTTGGAGGAATTTATTCGCAAAATGCATTTCCATCTCCCATTATTCGCATTAACCCTTTTTCGCACAAGTCAAAAACCACCTCAAGTGAGCGTAAAAACTTCTTTTGCGAATTAAGGCATTTTTATTCGAAATTCAGCGTTTCCATCACTCGATTCTGATGCGACACTTCAAAATGCGCATAAAAACAGGGTGATGGAAACCCAGCTATTGATGCTGAAGTCTCATTTGTGCATATGTACAGTACATAGTTATGAAGCCTTGGCATGTAGTTAAGAAACCAAGTGCATTTAGTTTCATTTGATGTGAAAATGTCATTTGATAGCTATACAATAGTTTTAGTGAATAACATTGCAAATTGTGTGTTAATGTCGGTCTAATTTTGAGGTGAACTACTCTTTAAGAGTGAAAAAGTCCAAAATATGCCTCCTGCGATTCAGCTTTCCATCATTTTTTCTACTTCAGCCGTTTTTCTCCAACTACATGCCCGACATTCTTCCGTTATGATTGCATTTTTCATATTTCTTTGTGATTATTTCACTGTTTTGTTGATATCCTGTCATGGAAGCCATTGTGTTATGGTTTTTGTTTTGTTTTTTTCTTTTTTTATGTGTTCCCTCTGTTCTGTTCTCCTTTGTTTTGCTCTCCATCCCTCCCTCCCTGAATTTCTGTGTGACTTCACTTTGCACCCGTCTCCACCCTTGATTTCTGCTTTCACTCACCCCCTCCACTGTATGCACTCAAAGATGTAGCCATCCCCTCCCCCCCTCCCACCTCACTGACCCATGCCACTACTGACCGTCTAATGCCAGGCTCCAGAGGCGGCGCTGGTCCCACGCCCTCCGCCCCCCGTGACGTTGTGGCCTCCCTGGTCTCCACCCGCTTCATCAAGCTGACCTGGCGCCTTCCTGCTGAACCGCATGGAGATGATGTCACCTACTCGGTCTACTACAGCCTGGAGGACAATAACAGGCAAGGGCATTTATATTTGTGTCATTTATATATACACTACAGTGACAAAGTTTGGGGTCAGTAAGATTTTTTTAAACAGATTTTATTCAGCAATGATTCATTAAATTAATAAAAAAATATTTTTAATGTTGCAAAAGATTTCTATTTCAAATAAATGCTGTTCTTTTGCACTTTCTATTAACCAAAGAATCCTGAAAAATATACTACAGTTTCAAAAATATTAAGTAGCACAATTATTTTTAATGTTAATAATAGGAAATATTTCTTGTGCGCAAAAGCAGCATTTTAGAATGATTTCTGAAGGATCATGTGTTACAGCAAACTGCGGTAATGGCTTTTTTTTTAAATATATATTAAAATAGTAACAATATATCACAATATTACTATTTTACTATATTTTTGATCAAATAAATGCAGCCTTTGTGAGCATGAAAGGATCTTGTTTGAACGGTATTGTACCTCCAATTTATTGTTTTTTTGGGGGGGTACAAAAACTGTAAAGAATATCTCATGATATTAGGTCATGTTTAATCCTAATATAAAAAAAAAGGAAATAAAGAAATTATATTTTGTTTAAGAAAAAATAAGCTTGTTTTTCCCCAATTATCCCAAACTCATTAACTTAATAAAATTACATTAAAATAATGTAACTGTCATTACTGGAATGTAGTATTTAATATTTAAATTATTAAAATATTTGTTGTATTGCCTTTGTTGCATATTTGAATAAATAAATGTATTAGTGTTTATTTTACTTTCTTTTTTTTTTTTTTACTTAAAAATGCTGCATTAAAATGCTGCATTACAGTAAAGAGAATCTCATGAGAATCACTATTAAGAATAATAATTCCAAAAAACAAAAAACAGTGAAGGAAAAAATGCATTATGGTAATAAGATTTTTTTTATGGTTCCTTGTGAGTAAAATAATATCATTAAAGCAAAATAAAAAAATGAATTGCACAAAATTGGCTTTTTATGCATATCATTAAAGCAAAATAAAAAAATGAATTGCACAAAATTGGCTTTTTATGCAATATATAATATATTACATTAAAACGTTCAGCAGTGTATATACAAATATGTATACTTGCAGTTACATATTTGCAATATGTAAATATGTAATACAAATAAAATACATTTAATTTTGACTGTGTAGTAATATGTTACCCAGACATGTTTTCATGACATTCACCCTCCAAGAAGCCTTAAATTATGAATGCTATTGATGATTGTATTTTGTTGTTTTTGTTGCTATTATTTTAAGTCACATGTTGTTCTTATTAATATTTATAATGCCATTCTATATGAGCTGTTATTAACTACAGAAGAATAAGAGAAGCTTTGAAGCAGTGAATCAGCAGTCAGCTCCTGTTTCAGTCTCATATCACGTTTGTTTCTCTGATGCTCTGTAGGGAGAGGATAGTGAACACCAGCCGTCCAGGAGAAATGCAAGTCACCATTCAGAACCTCATGCCAGACACCAAGTACTCCTTCCGCGTGGTGGCCCACAACAGAAACGGCCCTGGAGAGAGCTCAGTGCCTCTGACGGTCGCCACCCAGCCTGAAGGTAAGATCTCCACTTGATGATAACATACCAGTTAGAATGTGTTCAAATGAGATTTATGGACTAATTAAAACAGTTGCATTACAAATTACGCTCTGACACATTTCAGAAGGCTATAATGCGTGAAATCAAGTTTGCGTAGTTGGATTTTAACGCTCACATGCTTGTCTAGAATATGTTTTGGGCCTCCAAGATTATGCAGAACATTTTCTCTGGAGGTTTTCTTTCCCAAAACCTCCCCAATGCCTCAATGTCAGTTTAAAATCTCATTATATAGTAAGCACAAGTAAACACCTGCTGGCAAACAGATCTCTTGAACATTGCTGAAGGTATATGGCCTGACTCCATCAACGTGAAACATTATCAGCCCAAACACAGCACAGGAGAAGCTGTTTCTGGGTCAGACTTGCTCCTCTGTGCGTCCTTGGCTCTGACTGCTATAAGCACTTTATAATGTGTGTTAGCGGGATTCTGGCACTCCCGGGAATCCTGCTGCGTGGAGATCAGCCTCTGAGGCTGACACACATATTGCTGTGAACATTATGAATGAATCTGAGCACAAGTCATCTAGGCACACATACACACTCGTAGAGCGCACTTAATCCAGTGTAGGCGCCCCATCCCATCCTGTAAGACATCGGTATCAAAAGCAAGCGTTGATGTTGGACAGAATGGATGTCTGTGGCACTGAGATAAAGTGATTTCTCTCTGTCGTTTGAGATGCCAGAAACGCCTGATCAAAGTTCGAAAAGTGATTCATGTAATGCAGTTTATATTAGAGCTTGAGCATGAAAGATGGTTCAGGGTAACCATAACTGGATGAATGTAATCAAACAGTCATTGCAGACATGTGGTGAAGCGGCTAGAACTTGCTGGATGCTGGTTGAAGTCCTTGTGGAACACAAAAGGAGATGTTTTGAGGAGTGTTCATGCTGTTCTTCCCCATGCAATGAAAGCATATGCATATAGTGACCATAGACTGCCATGTTCTAGAAAGGACATAAAAGCACTATAAAGACAGTCCATACTATTTTTTAGGCTATATTTCAAGTCTACCGAAGCTATATGGTCACTTTGTGGTGATTTTCAGCAAATAATGAATATATTTTAGTCTGTTCCTGACATAAAGCCATTGTATGACTTCAGAGGACTGGGAATATAGTCAGTGAAAATATGAAGCAATTTTATGATGGCCCCTGCCTTGACTAGTAAAAAGTGTGCTTAATTATATTAAAAATGCACTTGTGGTGTACTTCAAATCTTGAAAATATATTGATAATATAATATTAATAAAATAAAAGGCCCCTTAAATGTACTTAAAGAGAGCACACTTTCATGACATATTTCAAAACACGCTTAAATACACTTTTAAAAAGTGCACTTTATAATAATGTCAAGTGTAAAAACGTCAATGTTAATGTTTTAAGTACATTTTAAGCCATTATCTTTTAATAATCTTTTGTGGTGTTTTTAAGAAGTACTTACATACTAACATATGAAAGCACTAGTGAAGTATTTGAACTGTAGATTATTCAATATCAATATGGTGTTTTATAATATATATCTTATTAAAGGTAATATGTTTTTAATGTACTAAATTGCAACAAATTAATAATTAGAAAAATATTTACAAATTATTTAAATTGCCATGATGCTGCTTCTGTGTTGGAGCGAGGAGATGTGGAGACGTGGGGGCATTTACAAAGAACAAACTTTAATTATCCAGACACACGCACACGTAGCAGGGGAATAGACATTTAACACTAGACGCTGGACAAAGGAAAACACAGGGCATAAATACTAAGACTAAACTAAGACTAAACGAGGAAGCTAACAAGAAACACCTGGAACCAATAACCACAATTAACACAAGGCAGAAACTAGGTCACAGGGAGAACATGGAGCACGTGGGAGAGGCAAACAAACACAAAACATGGGTGTGACATAAATAGCATGAAATACAATTTTCACTTGAAATTACATTAAAGTCAAGTCAAGTCACCACCTTTATATAGCGCTTTTAACAATACAGTTCATCATTGAATTTAGTGATGTCATCATCCAGCTCAGTTCAGTTTAAATAGTATCTGTGCAATCATGTCGACGATATCGCTGGAAATTAAGTGTCCCCAACTAAGCAAGCCAGAGGCAACAGCGGCAAGGAACCAAAACTCCATCGGTGACCGAATGGAGAAAAAACCTTGGGAGAAACCAGGCTCAGTCAGGGGGCCAGTTCTCCTCTTACCAGACAAAACCAGCAGTTCAATTCCAGGCTGCAGCAAAGTCAGATTGTGCAGAGGACACAACTGTTTTCTGTGGTATTAAAGTAAATTTTAGTTTACCATAAATGCTTGTCTGTAATGTTGGCAGTACACGTTACTGTCCATATTTTGAAGACAGAAGAAGTAATTATAAAATTGCATGTGAAGATGTACTTAAGTCATACTTAAAGGCAGAGTGAGGGATTTCTGGTAGCCAATGTTGATATTTGAAATCACCAAAACAAACACGCCCCTACCCCAAAAGGGTCTCGCCTCTTTTCTGATAGCTCCGCCCCACATATACGTACGCAACCAAGGCAACGATTAGTTCTGTGAAACAAAGCAAAACCAATGTTACACCGTGTCTACGGATGTGAGCGGCGCAGCGCAACAAATCCCCGACAGAAAACTGCTGCCGGGTTCTATTTATGACGTGCTGACACAAATTTCAAATGGTTTTCAACGGTCGTTTGATCGCGTCCAGTGTAGGCAGACTTTAGCTGTTGTAGACACTGTTACTCACCTATTAAGAAGAAACAAAGCAACCTCGGCGTCCGATCGCAGGCCTCCGCTCCTTGAGTTCTCTCCAGCGCTGGAAAGCTGATCCGATATTTACACGGGTCCTACTTGCCTTATCGTTCCGCAGACGTTTTCCTCTTTTGTTTTTTCCCTCCATCTTTCTGTCGCTCGGCTCGGCTAATGTCCGTCCTGTGCACTGAACGCACTCTCCTGCACTTCACGAGTAGACACGCCCCTTATTGCTGATTGGCTTTGCAATTTTTGTTTGTTTTGTTTGTTTGTTTTGCAATTCGGCCGAATCAGTTTTTAAAGTGTTTTTGAAAAATCACTTACTCTGCCTTTAAGCAGATCAAAATTTCAGCTACATGCATTTAATATAAATATAAACTATAATACATTTTAATGTATTTGCAATTAACATGCAGTTAAGTGTCTGAAACCATTAAATTCAATTCACACTTAAGCATATTCTATTTTAAGTAGGCTATATTATTTCTGTTATACATAGTTTTTTTTCTTTCTTTTTTTAATGAAAAAGAGCAGCGTGAACATTATTCATAATTTCTTCTTTGGGGTTACATGGAATAAATAAAGTCACACGGGTAGTAAATTATGAAAGAATACATTTTTGGTGAACTATTCCTTCAACACCAGGTTTCTCCAGTGGGATTGTCCCTGTAATAAGTGTATTGCGGGTCGCTTTAGATAAAAGTGTCTGCTAAATGACTACTTGCCAGCTTACTTAAAAATTGGCCAGTGGTTTTATGTCCATGCTGTTTAAATTATATTCCATTTCATTTAATGTAGAGCTCCATTTAGATTGGCCCTACATGATGACTCCCTGAAGGCATGTCAGTTGTGAGCGTGTTGGAAAAACAACAGATTTAACGGACACTCATCGGAGCCTATAATTGAATGTAATGATTCATGACCCTAGCAAGTAAACAAAAGTTAAGCAACATAGAATCTCATTTCCATTCTCTCCGCTCTGCTAAGCAAATTAAATAACGTCAATCCTGCAGTTTGAGCTGGCGTGTGTTAGTATGCTTTCTGCCAGTGGTGTTTCGACACATGCCACTGTCATATGCTCAGCTGAGAAGAGATATCACTCTCTCTATTCAAGTCAATTTCAAAGTGCTTTATTGGCGTGACTGTTTTACAAACAATATTGCCAAAGCATCAATGGAATTATCAAAGAAAAACAGTGACAGACAAAAGGTGCCAGTAATAAAACAAAACACAATCAAATTAAATCATGTTGTTTTTCTATTTTTTCTCCATTCTATGTAATAGTCCAGGTACCTGGTCCTGCTCCAAACCTACAGGCAGTGGTCACGTCCCCCAGCACAGTGAGTCTCAGCTGGGATATGCCCCTTACAGGCGAGATCCAGAACTACAAAATTTACTACATGGAGAAGGGCATGGACAGTGAGCAGGTAAAACCATCTTCATCCATCCTCTGTAATATCATGTATAAAAGCTTTATGATATTTGATAATGCATGTGAAATGTTCATGGTGGAGAACAGATGGAGCTCTGTGGTCTGTCCTGAACACAAGCTGAGGAGCTGTTTTATTATTGCTAACAAATTTTAATACGGTAGATGTCATATTTTGTATATTTTTATACTAATGAAAATTTCTAGCCCAATTCCAAATATTCATGTATAAGTTGTTTAAGAATGTGTTTTTTTATACTATTGACATTAGTGACTTGTCTACATTTTCATGTATTCAATTAGTGAATGTTTTCATCCACAGCTTCCTAGTGAAGAGTGTATAAATATTTGTAAAAACAAATAAATAATAATAATAAATGGATCAAAGATAAATAAATAAATGTTAATTATTAATAAAAATGAATTATTAATTCATTATTAAAAATAGCATTTTAAATAATTTGCTAATATGTATATATAAATATACACACATACGTGTATATATTTAAGAAATATATTAAATATATCAGTATCGAATATCAAATATTTAATCATTTAAATATTTAAATTTATATTTCACGCATACATGTATATATTTAAGAAATATATGTAATATATCAGTATCGAATATCAAATATTTAATCATTTAAATATTTAAATTTATATTTCTGCACATTTTTAATCTATACTTTTGTTACTGATGTCATAATTCAGCCTGTTTCTCTAACCTCTCTTCTCTGTCAGGATCTGGATGTGAACACACTGTCCTACACCATGACTGGACTGAAGAAGTTCACAGAATACAGTTTCAGAGTGGTGGCCTATAACAAACATGGACCTGGAGTGTCCACTGAGGACATATCTGTGCGCACATACTCTGATGGTACTTACGATAAATCTGGCTTCTTTGCTTTGTCTTACTAGTCAGTTCCCTCCATTCAAAATAATTGTAGGAAGGGGTCTCATACAAGAACTCTACTAGGCAATAAACAAAGCCAGCAATAAACCTATACTATAATCGATATCCCTGTTGTAGTTATATCAACAGAGCAATATCACCAGGATCCAAAATTAACTTTATGCCACACCTGTCAGTGGTGAGTGAATTGAAAAAAAAAATGACTGGGCATAAAGATTTGTTACCACCCATGAAACTTTATTTTGTAGTAATTACTGTATACTTCGACTGGGGACTCGTAAGCTTCTAGCCACCTGCAAAATTAGTCTTCATAGGCCATTTTTCTTAGTTTCTGCAAGATGGTGTCAGTTACCTTTTTGTTGGTGAAAATGGTATTAAAATGCCATGATGTTGTGCTATGAGAAATATGAAAGAAGCCATGGACAGTGGTGAAATATTCAGTTGGTCATTATATAAAAATATTTGCCCGCTCGGTGCTTAACCAGAATCAGGATCCAGTCCACCAGAAAGCCATTTAAGACAAGACGCTACAGAAAAAAACCCCTTGTTCTTTCAAGCACTGGTAAATTTCAGTATAGTGGAAAGAAAATATCCAAAATGTACATTAATTTTGTTTAAGTCATTACACTTCATCTATTTGTGTCTGTAGATTTCAATTATAATGCATATCTTCAGGCTATTTTCTCAAAAGGAGTTTTTTTCTCATGCAGTGAGCCAGAAATCTACTTCAGAAGCACTTGCGTATACAAAAGTTTGCCGTTTTGATCCGGTTTATATTCTGAAGGTTTTTACAGAAGGGTTTGCACGTACAACATTCACCTGACTTGTATAACCTCTAAATATGGCGTTTTTTGTGATTTATGGAGCGATTAAAAGAGAGATCCCCTCAGTAAAAAAAATTATTGGACCGGGCTTTATGCAATGTTCAGTTTATTATTCTGGAAATCTATGCAAATGAGTGCATATTTAATTAGATAATGCAACGTTTGCATATGTGAACATAATGTTACAGAAAACTTAAAGGCTTCATTTGCCCCAAAAAATTAAATTGTCATCATTTCCTTACCTCAAGTTGTTCCAAACCTGCATGAGTGTTGAGCACAGAAAAAGATCATTTGAAGAGTGTTGGTAACCAAACAGTTGACGGTAGCCATTGCATTTTTTCCATACTGTGGCTACTGTAAACCATAAACTGTTTGGTTACCAACATTCTTCAAAATATCTTTGAATTTGAATTTTTGGGTGAACTATCCCTTTAATGTATTGTGAATATTAAGCTGGGGAAAGCATTCTGTTGGTGAAGTATCTATTAATTGACCCTGTTCAGCTCAGTGCCTTGCCTAAATAAAAGCTGAGGATATGTGAACTAATACTGTACTCTTCTCTGTCTGTTCAGTGCCCAGTGCTCCGCCACAGAACATGACGGTTGAAGTGCTGAACTCTAAGGTAAGGCTGAATGACTGTCGGGTCGGATGGGCTCCGGCCGTGTTTCACCAGCTGCTGCTGGGTGAAGTGTGCAGTGGTTCTGATGAAGGCGCTCATCTGTTGCTGTGATTTTACAGCACATCTGTGCTCGGCTAGAATGCTGTCACAGAGCTTTACATCCTCATTCATTCTTCCTCTGTGTTCACCTCCCCCTCTTTCTCGAGATGCAATTTATATTTGTCTAGCTGCCGGGGAATATGAGTCTTCCTCCTGTTGTTTTTATTCATGAGTCTGTTTATGTTTCTAGTCATATGTAGACTAGTGTCTTGGGCTTTAGCACTTTTATTTCGTGGTGTTTGCTATGGCAAGCATGACGTTTGCTTTCACACATCCTTGGAATTTCAACAAACCTCAGAGTCTAAGTATTAAAGTCACCATGAAATCAAATCTGACAATTCTTATTTTCTTATGGAATACTTTTTATGAAATGTAATTCAAAATAATTTCCCCTCCCTCTCACAACATTTGAGATTGCAGTGTTATTTTTTAATCGCATTAAAGGGATAGTTCACCCAAAAATGAACATTTGATGTTTATCTGCTTACCCCCAGGGCATCCAAGATGTTGGTGACTTTGTTTCTTCAGTAGAACACATATGATGATTTTTAAGTCCAGCCGTTGCGGTCTATCAGTCGTATAATGCATGGCAATGGTAAAAAAATCTATGAGAGTAAAACGAACATGCACAGACAAATCCAAATTAAACCCTGCGGCTCATGACGACACATTGATGTCCTAAGACACGAAACAATCGGTTTGTGCGAGAAACCGAACAGTATTTATATAATTTTTTACCTCTAATACACCACTATGTCCAACTTCCTTGAGCACGTGCACGGCATCCGATGCATGAGGTGTGTACGCGCTCTGGCGTAGTTTACAAAAGCGCCGGAAGTGATCTCTCGCGCATATATGTCACTCATTGTTTACACAGTGCACAGTCATTGTAGGTACGATGGCTAATCAAAATGGTACGTACTTGCGCTTATCCGGATTGTTCAAACCAACTTAAAACTAAAGGATTACGTTCTCTCGCACGAACTCGTTCGGGAGTGGTGACTTTCCACGTATTTCCAACTTCTGAGCCTGCTCGCCTGAAGTTATGGTTGATTGCTCTTCGGCTGGATATCAACACACCCATTAACGTAAACTACGCCAGAGCGCGTACACACCTCACGCACCGGATGCCGTGCGCGCGCTCAAGGAAGTTGGACATAGTGTTGTATTAGAGGTAAAAAATGATATAAATACTGTTGGGTTTTTGGCACAAACCGATCGTTTCGTGTCTTAGGACAATCAATGTGTCGTCACGAGCCGCAGGGTTTAATTTGGATTTGTCTGTGCATGTTTTTTTTACTCTCATAAATTTTGTTACCATTGCAATGCATTATACGAAGGACAGACTGCAACAGTTAAAAATCATAATTTGTGTTCTACTGAAGAAACAAAGTCACCTACATCTTGGATGCCCTGGGGGTAAGCAGATAAACATAAAATTTAAATTTTTGGGTGAACTATCCCTTTAAGGTACTATAATATTTTTATTTTGTTTTTATTTTTATATTGTCTGTATAGTTTTTAGGTATGTCTGTATAGTTTTTATTCATTCATTTCAGTTTTAGTTTAAGAAGCTATTTTAGTATATTAAGTTTAAGTGTTGTCTTGATAATTAGCTGAAATAATAATTTTTTTTTTACATTTCATTTCAGACCACTTGAACATTTTATTTCAAGAATTTCTTTAATTGTTTCATTTTTAGTTTTAGTTAACTATAATAACTCTGCTATAACTCTATAATAAGGTTGCGCTCCTCCAGCAACCTGTCATTCACGTAAAAAAAAATATATATATATATATAATATATATATATATATATATATATATATATATATATATATATATATAT